GGAATCTTTTATTAACCTTCAATGTTCCAACCCTCTTCTGATGAAGATTTTGTGTAGGTAGTGGTGTAGCCAGATAATTTATTCAGTGATATTATTTAATTAGTTATCAATGATGTCATTAAATCATACTTTTAATTCCAGAATACTTATCGAAATAAATTTTCATATATTTACTATAAATATAATGAAGTATCATGTATAATAATATTACAAAATAATTCAAACTAATCAAATTACACAACAATACTTGAATACACTAATATACTATTTCTTCAATAAAATTAAAAATAACAAGATTGTGATTTTCAAACAATCAAATTGTGGGGATATATTTTCTGAGTACCAACACGTGGCAAGGTAACGCTGATGTGTCAGCCGAGGTGCCACGTGTTCTAGTCGTGACGCCGAGGTCATCTCGGCTAGGCCGAGGTTATCTCCGAAGATATCGGAATCCGAGATAAGTGGATAAGGGACAAGAGTCCTAGAATGAAAAGGAAACTCAACTTGGATATGGACAAGAGTCCTAGATTGGGAGAAGACTTCAGTTTGGGTAAAGATAAGACTCTTAGAGAGTTTATCCTAATCTCACTGGAAGTCCCAGGTTAGCGGCAATCCTAAGTCCATTAGGGTGAGGCTCCTATTGGGACTAGGATTGTATTGGCTATAAAAGAGAGGCACCCCCATGGGTCAGAGGTATGCTTTTGATACTCAAGCTTGTGAGTTTAGTACTTGATTTATCTTTGAGAGATATACTGACTTGATCGTCGGAGTGCCCCCGGGTGGTCGAAACCACCGCGGGATTCTTATATTTCTGTTACAGGTCAGTCAGGTGCCATCTATTCTGCCAGTGCTCTCCAGCTGGTTACTAAGCGGGAAGTATGGTCGGAAAATCACCCACACACAAATAAATTGAGAGTGATAATCAATCACTTATCAAACTTTGTGTCTGAAGATGTGCCCTTGGGAGTGTATGGCAGTGGTGCTTGACATTCGATGCCTCTCAAAGCTGCGACAATGGAAGTTTGGATGGATCAGCCGAGCAAACAACAGGGCAGCGCATTGGCTCGCTAGTTCCTATGCTAGCAAAAAGCTTCCAGCGAATTGGCTGGATTACCCACCTTTGGCCCTTGTTTATACTTTGTCTAATGATATAACGAGTCAGGTGTTCTGATCACCTGTTCAATAAATAAATAAATAAATAAATTACAACTACACCTCATGAGGTTTCTTTAAAATACAGATTGTTTTTTATGATTTGAAAAATTATAAATACTCTCATACCATAATTTTTTATTTAACAGAATTAACTGAAAAAATAAAATTTATAATTACTCTTCTATACAATAATAAAATTACTTAAATTATTAATTGAAACATATTTCTAATATCATTAAAAATTGTTAATTGACTTGATAATTTATTAATAAAATGGACAATTTGTTATGAAGTTAGAAACTTTAGGGAGTAGAATGTAATTTCTAGAACTACAGAGATGATTTGTATTTTAATCAAATGTCAAGCAATATATTTGTAATTTATGTAAAAAAATTAAAATAATAATAATAATAGAGAGGAGACAAAATGATTATTTCTTGAGAAACAAAATATATATATATCTTTGCAAGCAATTAAGAATTTTGTACTTTAAATGAATTCTATTTTTCTTTTATCTTTTAGAATAATGTTTTGTAACTCGAAACATTTTCCTCCAAATGGCCTGGTTTTCAAAAACAACGTTGTTCTGATTTTGATATTTTTTTTTTCTTCTTTCCCTTCCACTTCTTGTTTCTCTGTCAACGGTTGAACCAAACCTAGAGAGAAAGAGAGGGAGAGAGAGAGAGAGAGAAAGAGAGAGAGAGAGAGAAGAGAGGAAGATGAGGATCTGTGTGTGTTGATGATGATGGAGGGGGAAGATCCCTCTTGTATCTCTGTGTGTGTACCTCTTGGGAAGATCTCTCTCTCTCTCTCGATGGGTGGGTTTGATTTTTTGTAGGTAGGTTTGATTTTGATTTTGATATTGTTTTTAGGGAGAGAAAGTGGGTTTGCTTCAATTTTGTAATTGGTTTGGTAGTTTTTAGGGAAAAAAAAGTAGAGAAAGAAGAAGATAAATAAATGTTCAACTTCAATTTTGCCAATGTTCAACATTTGTGAAAGAAAGTGGGTTTCCTCCTCTCTTTTCTGCACAGACCAGTTCACTAATGTTGAAGAAGATGAAGAAAGTGTTGATCACAAATGTTCAACCCACTTTCTTTCACAAATGTTCCTCTCTTTTCTGCACAGACCAGTTCAATTTTGTCAATGTTCACAAATGTTTGAGACAGAAAAGAGAGGAGGAAGGAAGATAAAGACGGAAAGAAGAAGAAGAAAAAAAAAATGCAAAACGATCGTTTTGCATTTTCAAGCCATTTGGGCCAGTTGATTTCGAGCTACCTAGCAGAATTAATTCTTTTAATATGTATTATTGTTTTTCTACTTCTAAAAAAAATTCCGTGCTTTAAAAGAAGTTCATTTTTCTTTCTTACTTTATATTTTTTTTATAAACTCTATTTATATATAAAATTTATATTCAAAAGCAAAAAATCCCAAAAATGATTTATAAATAAAAAGTATCATCATGGGTATTATATTTTGAAGTGAAAAGTCTATATTAAATTACATCATTTTATATAGAAATTATTTATGATTTTTTTTATACCATTGTTCAAAAAAATAAAAAATAATTGATATCATGATATTTGTTATGTCAACAAAACTACAAGACTACACTCACCATATTTTTACATGATGCTTTATTTACTAGCGACATACACTAATTATTATAATAATATCCATATAAATTTCATTCATATTCAATCATTAATAGTTATGCCTCCTAAAAAAAATGATATAAAAATATAATAAGACGTCTTTTTAAAATAGATTATTTTAGTAATTTTTTAACTAAAATATAAGATTAAAAAAAAAATTATACTTTCTAAACTCCCTCATAATTATAAAATCTTACATAAAGGACAAAATTTATTATTTAAATATTTCATAAGACTATTATACCCTCAACTTCTGCATATATAATCAGTTTTGTCATCAACTGTATCATAATCACCATAGTTGCATCTTCCAAGCTTCAGCAGAAGGTCGTCGACAAGCTGCCGCCATAGTAGCGTCTTCCAAGCTTCAGCAGAAGGTCCTCTCTTCATCTTCATAATCAGCAACGATGAGGCTTTGAGTATGTTGAAATTGAATGAGGATGTCGTTGGAGATTCGAAAGCTAGGGTTTCGGAGCAGATGGAGATTCGGCGTGCGGTGGAGATGGCTCAATTGGAAGCAGAGAAAAAACATGACGAGGTTGTTGATGAGATGCTGGCGATGTTGAATGTGAAGGCTGAAGTTTCGAGATTGAAAGAAGTTGAACAGGAGGTTGGGAAAGATATGGATGAGGAACAGTAGAATATATGTATATATATATATATATATTTGTGTGTATGAGTGTTGTTGAACACATGTATTCTTTTTCATTGAGATGTGTGATTGTTGATCAAGTTTTAGAAGTTTTTCGTTTCAATTAGATATGTGGATTTGTTGATTAATTTGTTTTGTTTTTGTTTGTTTGTTTTTTTAAAAGTTTTTTTTCTCAATTAGATATGTTGATTTGTTGATTAATTTGTTTTGTTTTTGTTTGTTTGTTTGTTTTTGATTTATTTTTGTTGTTTTTTATCTAATTTTATTTGGTTTACTCTGGTTCTATTGCTTTTTTTTTTTTTCATTTGACAAAACCAGAGTAAAATTTTACTTTTATACAGAGTAAAATTTTACTTTTGTATAGAGTCTAACATTTTACTAGTTTTTCAGAGTAAAATTTTACTTTTAGTTTCAGAGTGTAACATTTTACTCTTATTCAGAGTAAAATTTTACTTTTATACAAAGTAAAATTTTACTTTTAGTTTCAGAATGTAAAATTTTACTTTTATACAGAGTAAAATTTTACTTTTATTTTTAGAATGTAAAATTTTACTTTTAGTTTCAGAATGTAAAATTTTACTTTTATACAGAGTAAACTTGTACTCTGAAATATATAGTGAAGATGGCTTAATAGGAGAACTGATAGATATGAGGGTAATATAGTAAAAAAAACAAGTTTTAAAATATTAGGGAGTTTTAAAAGTACTTATATAATTCTTGTCCTTTTAAAAGACAAATTAGATAGTGAGGAGACTATCACCAAATCCCCCAAAAATATAATAAGACATCGTTTTAAAATAGATTATTTTAATAATTTTTTAACTAAAATATAAGATTAAAAGAACTAGTATGCTTTGAATGACTTTAATTTTTTTTACTAAAGATGTGCAAAACATAGAGAGAATTTTTTTTTTTGACTTTTTAATATAAGTTATAGGCTTATTAAATTTTTTAATAATTTTTTGACTTTTAAGCTAAAAGTGTTGCATGCCAAACAGACCCTAAGTATAAAATTAATTATTTTTTTAAACAATTTTTTATTTTTTTGATAAATCTATTTTTTTGAACAATTTTGATGGTGTCAATTTATGAAAACATAAGACAATATCACATTCAACCCATAATCATTTTACTTTTTTTTTCACAACGATAAAATCAATTATATAAAAAAATAATAATAACTAACTTCTCAAATATAATTTTTTAACTAAATTAAAATAGTAAAAAATAAAACAAAAATTAAGGTATCGTTCGGTATAATTTTAGAATTATGATTTAAGAATGGAGTTGTATTTTGAGTTTGTGAGTTTAATTCTTAAAAAAAAAAAAAAAATCGAAGTTCAATGAGTTCAATTGAACCCACAACTTTATGCATAGCTCCACCCATGCACAGAAAGCAATAAGATTACACAAATGAGAAACATTTCTGCTTTTCTCTATGAAAACAAAATATTGGGAGAGGAAGGGGAAAACATCAAATGCAATAAAAAAAATGCAGGAAACTGAGCTGAAAATCCAGTGCCCACAAGCTGAATCTGAACTTGAGGAGACCTATAACTAGGACCAACCTTGTAAAAAATTAGCGCTAGTGAATCTGCCAAAGCAACCAACATGAAAACTGAACAGGACGAGTCAAGATGCAAACTTTTTTGTCAAATAATTTAAATTACCCTTTATCAAACTGATGCTGCCCTGTAAGAATATATACACTATACTTTAAAGAGCCTGCATAGTAGGCAACAACCTTCTAACTCTCATGTATTGAGTACAAGAAGCAGAGCTTCTAACTTTGCCTTTTCACATGGAAAACAAGGATCAAGACAGCAATTTGAGCCACCTGATTACATGCAACGCAACAAACCCAAACCCACTGTACAATTTGCTCTCACAATGTACAACAAGGACACCAAAACTTCCTTACCCAAACCAGAATGACCCCTTAATAAGAATGTTCTGGTTGGGACTCGAATCTCGGTGTAAATATCCTCCATTTTCTTCCACTATATAATGAGAAAAATATGGCACCACCCAGGAAGAAAACATATAACGGGGTATATATGGTTGTCGGCTTCGAACAGGGTAATCAAAACCCGGAAAGGATATACCTTAAGTTTACTCATCATGTTCCAATGATTTGCCATTATACGCATTTGCGACGGTCTCTTTCTCCTTCAAAAGACATCGAATAGGAACATAAACAAATCCCTTAGGTAATCGCTGATTCTTCATACATGCTTGATTCGTTCATAGATGCTTGATCTGATGTCATTACAAGCTCCTTTTCAAATGTTTCCATATGCTGTGTGATTTATACGCACCAGCGAACATTTTCATTTAGATACAATCTTTTGATCAACTAAACAAAAGTTTCAATTGAACCAACAACATAAGAGGTGTAACGCACAATTATACCTTTCTAGAAATTGACCTCTTTTCCCCATCATCGGAAAGATTCTGAGATGCAACAAATGGTCTCAGTGGGATTTGTTTCCCAGAGAATGATACCCTCTCCCTAGGTTTTTCCATATAGAGGTGTTGGGATGTAGAACTGTCATCTGTTTTTCGGTCATGCTCCATTGAAAAAGAAAACTTAATACGGCGTTTACCCGAAACTGTGCTGTCAACTGTTATATCATCTGATCTTTGGATTGCTTCACTGCCTGATCTGCAATCGTCCGTATTTTTGAGGGAGGTTGTAGCTGATTCTGAACTAACATTCGGTGGGAAGAAAGGACTACGAACAAGAGCAGACAAAGCAGCAGAGTCTCTATTCGAAACAAGTATGTCTTGAAAGCAAAGAACCAACTCGCGCTGCAAAATTGACAAGAAAAAAATGCTCAACATAATTCATAACATATGACATCACACACACACACATAGAGAGAGGATGCAGGTTTTGAAGGGGCCACTGCAGAAAACTTGAATAATTTATTGGAGCTGTCTTTTATATTTTCTAAAAAGAAAACAGGTGATCACGTCAGCCAACTAGTATTGCTAGAACATTCTTAGTATTTATATAAAAAAAGTGTGCAGTCAAAAGGCGTGCACATATATACCCACATAGAAGACCATGTGAAAAAAAGGGTCAACTTGAACAGGCAATCCGTCAATGTAGCTATAGACCACCTCATGATATAGTCTACTATTTAATATATATTAGAAAAAACAAGGGATGAGAATAACAAAAGCCCAACCATTCTTCTGACTCCAGCATGAGGAATCCACGGTTTTATAAATAAATAAAAAAAAATTAAGATAATTCAGAATAATATGACCAGATCAACCATTCATCTGACTCCAGTAATGGTAAATCCATAGCTGGTACAATTGGGTTTTCGATATCAGTAGTCGTCATCTTTACACATCACGTGCTGAACGACTAGCATCTTCAAAGATCTCGCACATTATTATTGTTGATGGAAAATATATGCTATTAAATACAGACAACTCCTTTTCCCAGTGTTCACTGTATTATTCCTACAAGGCAAATGCCACCATTTCTAGCTGAAGTAAAAAAGAAAGGAAATGGAAATTTCACAAAAACTCAAAATATGGAAGTTTACTGTTGATGACAATTATACAGCAATTAATTGCATCTCGAAGAACAAAAGGCAAACAATCTAGCCAGGAAAAAGCAAATAGGTAATCTTGAAGGTTTCTAAAATTACAAAGCTTATTTCAATTCTCTATCATTTCATTTTTGCACACTTCAAACTTGCATATTTCTTTGCAAGAATCCTTACAATAAAACAATTTTTTCTTCCAAACCACCCCGTTTACATCCAAATTTAAATTGATAATAAAACTCAAAATCCAACACATAAACAATGTATTAGACATTATAAAACACAACTCCCAATTAGTACACATTGATGTGTGTTTGAGAGGGAAAAGATTGGGTACACACCTAACCTTTGGCATAGTGTACAAAGTGGTTGCCCCGAGAATTGAACCCATAACCTCAAGGTTATTAGGCCAAGGTTTTGGCATTATCTAAGATGCAAATACTGCATTTAATGACCCTTTCTTCTGTAAATTAAATGAACACACTAATCCCACAACCACTATGAGTACGAAATTACACACACACACACACACAGAAAGAAACATCATGATCCACTTCTCAAAAGGGCTTACCTTCAATTTCTCTCGTTTGACAATTCTCTCACAAAGCAGCCGTAACCTCTCCAATTCAACCTGCACAAGGGCATGAATATGCAATTAATATAGTAACACAGAAAGAACTGCAATACAGCCCGGTGATATAATTAAAATTGCGAATTTAACTATAAAAACACAAATTTTAAAAAGAAACAATGTAGTGTAACTGCAGACACGGATATGAAAATATGAGTCTAACTAACTGAGATACGATAAAAGGCCATAACCATCAAGATGTAAGGAATAAGAGGGGGGGGGGGGGGGGGGGGGGGGGGGGGGGGGGGGGGGGGGGAGGGGGGGGAATCGGATTAGATGAATGGAAGTTGAAAAAAATTATTAATTGGTCAATTAATGCTGTCCCTCCAAAAGTACTTTTTGTACAAAGTTTGTTTTCTTTTGACATTCTATTCTATAAGCTCCTAATTTAAGTCCAATTGCTTCATTGCATACCGGACCTTAGGGTGTTTCTAGAAACATTCTTTTACTAAAATCTAGGACCTTAGGATCCCTATATTATTCATGTTGCAAGAACATACCTGTATTTGGTCTTGCAGAAAGTTTCTTCACTAACCTTATCTGTACTCTATAACAAGGCATATTATACAAAATGAAGTAGAGAGCTAATTGAGATCTGCCCTCACCTGAAACCTCTCCCTGCCTCTTTAAGATTATATCCAACTATCTCAAACACTAAGGGGTTGTTTCATAAAGCTCAAAATCCATACTAGAAATATTGCCTGCTGGATCATTGGCGCATGATGGAATCAAAATTCAAAGAGAATACAAATTCTAGAGAGAGTTGTTCTTGGAACAATCTCAGATAGTTATAATTCATCAAAGTTGGTTACAAGATGTCACAGCTAACTAGTTATAGACTCTCCTACTAACTACCACTCACATGCTTGGCACATGCCAATTACATCATGGCTAATATTCAACCACAGAAGTGTTTTAAATTAAAACCATCTTCTACTTGAGATATGTACAGCAATCAGTGATATGTTGGGTCTACAAAACACAAATCAAGACCCCTTTTAACATATTTTCAGTTTTCGTGCAAGCTGATTGTGCATTGTCGCATGCACTTAACGGAAGACCCATTAGAAAAATTAAGATTTAGCACTTGCCCTTGAATCAATTGTTGTCCAACAAGTTGCAACAAGCTATTTTCTGGAGACCCGGCAAGTTACTGGTGTAAAACTTCATTTAAACCAATTCCATCGATAATAGTCACACTTCCTCCACCTACCTCAGTCTTCAAAACTATGTCACACTAACGCTTGGCCCATTAAGTGAGTGATTGACAAAACAGCACATACCATAATGTTAACGAATATTGTCCTCCAACCCCTTTCCTAGTTTCAACCAGAACATCGAAACCAGAACATCGACGTGGATAAATCAGGAAAAATGCCAAATTTCACAAACTGAACTTGCAAAAATAGCCGCATCAAGGTTACAACACCAGGTAATGTGTATCAAATTAAGTTTTCTGTGTGACTCTGTGCAAGAGGAAAGAAATCAACTTCTCTATATGTAGACCATGGGCATCATTACGTCTACATAATATTTAAAACTAGCAAGTCCAATAAGCAAATACAAATTAAATCTCTCAAGCACTAATGTTCTGAATTACAAATTACATCCCTCATGAACAGAAAACCCACATATTTCTCCAAAAACAACCAGAACAAATATTTGCACACCAATTTATACGTGTCATATTTGAAGAATATATCACTCCCCAGGTTTCATATCTCGTTTCTCTTTTCAATTTTCACAGTTAAAAATAATTACTTTATAGTTTATATTAAATTCAGGACTACGCATAATTTTATATCACAAAACTAAACATAAATGTTTCTATAATACAAGTGTCGAACAGGCCTTGACTCTTACAGCCATCAAATTAGGGCTCAAATAGAATTTATTAACCAGATAGCAAATCCCCAAACCTGCTTGCAATTCTGATTGAAAACAAATACTTAATTCATAGTATCGCATAGATTACCATAAAATCATACTAATCAAAATAACTGGCAAAATAGGAAAGCACATATCAAGATATATATTATCACCACATGCATGAAATAGAGCAAAAAATTCCACCAATTAAACAGCTACTCAGAATTCTAAGTTCAATATCTGTTTAGAATAATGGAGAGAGAAAGAGGTAAGAGCTATTGAACACTAATCACCCAAAAAAAGAGCTAATGGACACCCCGCTTTCAAAGAGTACAGTTAAAAAAAGGTTTCTACCAATCTAATTGAAAAACAATCATAGTAATTAGAACCAGCTTTTAAATGTCAAATATTAACCAACAATTAAAGCTCCAAGCACTAAATCAAACATAAGAAAAGCAAAACCAGTCAAAAACATATATTAATCCAGATAAATCCTGCTACAAATATGTACCGCAACATAAATAGTATTTAGAAAAAAAAATCCTGTTGTGTTTATCAAATGACAGCATGTACCAAGGAAATATTGTCCATAGTTTTTTGTAAAAAACATGATCTTTTCTTCAGATGACTAAAAACTATCAAGACAAATAGAAAAAAGAATTACATAGGATAGTATACAACTGTTACACCAGTAAAAATATGCCAATAAATATAGAGCAGCTTGAACCGAGAATGATCAGAGAACATCCTCACTCACCCTAATTTGCTTAATACTCTTCAATTCTTCAATTCCATGTTTTTGAGTCTCCACCTGCATAAAATCCATTTAGCAAAGATGAGGTGCAACAAACAACAAATCGCCCACCAAAACATGAGAAATTTACTTCACAAGCATATCAAATCAACCTTTGCTCTTTGCTCCAAGCTATGCTTTTCGCAATATGCCTTGTGCTGCAACTTGCCGCCAACTATTTTAACATTCATGTAACAGCCAGCACTTCTGGCACAAGCTGGATGAAACGTGCTCTGACAGTGGCCAAAATTGCACTGCGGACAGTAAAACTTGAAGTTGATGCTACAATTACCTTACTCATATATATTCAGTTCAGAAAGAACAGGAAGAAGGGAGAGAGAACAGATAGGCTAATGACAATCTTCACCTTTATGCAGACACCTCGTTTGCAATGGCAAATATGACAAACATCACTCCCCTTCAAAAGTGACTCCTGGCAATATAAATTAGATATAATGAGAAAGGTAGGTTTTACATGAAATTTTTTAGGTTTGCCCTAAACGCTAGCAGAAACAATATCTGCAAATTCCATGCATCATGCCAAATTTTATTCACACAGGAAAACAGCAGCAAACTGCTTCTATTTTTAGTTGGTAGCTAAGGATTTACATAAAATAAAATAGAAATTATGCTTTTATCAAAATCGTCCTCTAAGTACATCTACCATTCCTTCAAGCAGGATTCCCCTGTCCCCTCTGAAAGTTGATGCTAACACCCACTACAAAATTGGAAAAAAGCTAGGTTTAAATGCATCAACGAAAATAAGAGACAAAATAACTTCTTCCAACAAATGTGTAACCAATAAAATAAGAGAGTTTTACCTCCGCACAGAAAGCATGGATCCATTGACCATCAGTTGACTTTCTAAAAGCACCAGCAGTGCCACCGCATAAACCACATTCAACAGCAAAATAAGGCTTCTCCCATGAATTGACAGTTTGAGCTACGGAGCTCCTAGATAACAACAAATCCTCACATAATTCACAATACCAAGGACCAGCAGAATTTTTAACGCTACAATAGCAATCCAAATGAACTGCAACCTGCTCTCAAGCAAACAATTTGTTAGAACTTAACAAGATATCTAGGATTGTTCAACAGTTTTCAGTCTAGGTTAGAAAACCTTGCAACGTGAACAGACTAAGATAGGGTTCAAAACTGTCTCATTGCGTCTGCAGATGTCACAACTTCTGGAATGTTCTTTAGAAAAATCTGATGAAACTGAATGGACAAAATCAGAGTTCATTTCTGATGAAACCCGTGGAACAGCCAACTTTGGAAGTGTCTCCTTCACCCGTGGCATGTGCTGAGAGTAAAGACCAGCCCTTCCAGTCAAATTGTTCATTTTCAAAAGGTTCTGCACAGAAAAAAAATAAATTTGGCAATGGTATGATGATGATGATGACAATTAAGACAATGACAATTATTATTAATTATTTCATTAGTTCACCCTATAAATCATGTTTAATTGAGAAGGTACAGAAAATACAATCAGAAATCACATTAAGTTTAGAAGAAACAGGAAATACAACCTCTTGGTGAGAAGATTCATTGCGTGTATCTTTCCTAAATGACGAGATCCGTGAAGAAGATGAAGCTGCAGCAGTTGCAGCAGCTAGCAGAGCCTGGGCTTCCATGTGCCTTCTCTCTTTCCGGCCCTGTTTTTTTGCTTCTCGAAGCTCAGAAAGATACTGATTGACTAGTACAGCATCCCATTTCTGCTTCCCAACGGCATCAATCTCACATGGTAGACTCTTCACAACCTCGCAAATTAAATCATCTGCAAGAACAACACAATTATATTTATATACGTATGTGCAAATGATTTAGTCAGATGTTTATGTGATACAGCATAAAGACGTAACTCTAGAAACTACACAATCTTCAAATCACGTGCTTCCACGGCACTAGTAAAAGAAAGAAATGAAGTAAATGGACAGGTGATAGAGGTGAAAAAAGGGGCAAAGCAGAGACCACTAAAGCGCTTCCTTTCAACCACATTGCAGAGTAGCCTATGCTGGTAAAAAATAAGTTCCCCTTCCACCTCATCTTCTGGGGACATTTCTAGAACACCCATATTCCTGGCCTTAACCAACTGTTCTAAATTTGATCCACCAATTTCAGAAATCATGTCACTGGAATTTAAATGTTCAATTGGCTGATTACAACAAATGCCAGAACTGGAAGATGCCTCCATAGGAAAATTTTCTCGGTCCCTTGAACCTGCCAAGCAAAGTAGGTGACCACATGACCTCAACAGATGTGACATATGAGCATCAGACAAGATTTTACCATCATACTCAGAAGTTGCATTATTTGAAAGCAGCATATTCTGCAATTCACTCATTTTGTTGCGGACAAGTGGATGAATGTAAGAACTAGACACCGCTTCAGCTTTTCTGCATTCCACAATTTATATGAATTTGATAATGTCAGGAATATGAGGTACAAGACAAATGCCCCCCAGCAGCATCAAAACCACCTCATCAAGGAAATTCAACAAGTAAACCTTACATGAGATCAGGGATATGATTCTTAATAACTGAGCAAATACGACTTTCCAGGTTTGAATTTGGCGTCAAATTCCACGCAGAGATAGCAGCCCCTTCTGCTTGACCACCTTAAGAAAGATAGCAGTTAAAAGGTTTGACAGAATCACTAATCCAAAATATGGTACAAGCATCAAAAGTAAAATATGAAATGCACACACAATAAAGATCAAAACATTTTTTTCCTTTTTATCATGGGATTTTTTAAAATAGAAAAATAAAAAAAGGGCCACCCATTTGACTAACCAGTTTACATTATTTTCTCTCTTAGAAAGTGTAATACACTGCAAACTAAAGCCAAGCATTTTCATTCATTTGATATTGGAATCTGATAGACTGTTGTACTGGTGATACCAACTGCAAAGATTAAAGACCATAATATTAGCAACTATTAAGAGATGCTTCGTCTTTTCTCCATTCTATGCTACACAAACTGTACAATGGTTGAAAAATATATATATATATATATCAAGATTTTTCAAGAACTAAACTTGGCTACTGCTTGCCAAGGCTACTGTGGCAAGTTTAAGGATATCGTCTAGATCGCAACCTTGCTGCCTCTCCACATGGCAGGTTGCACAAAACCAAATTGGCACTTCCTCCACAAGACAAATATCTTTTTTCTATCTTTTACTTGTGCCTTTGTTTGGCTGTCAAAGAAGTTCTATGCATGGAAGCAACCATGACAAGAATAATAGAATTCACCCACATTGGCGCTTTGCCACCTCTCCACATGGCAAACCCTTTAATTTTTACTTCTTCATTCATTCTGTTTTGTGTTTTCCCGTTCTTTTTTCTCTCTTCTTCCCTTTTTTTTTTTTTTTTATTTACATTTGGGTGTGTGTGTGTGTTTTTTTTTTTTTGGGGGTGGGGGGCAATAAAGATACACGCCATATCAGAACAGAGACTTAAACCTTGCACCTCCACTTTATTGATGGCAGGAGAGAAACCTAGGAGAATTACCTTAAAAGTAAACTTCAATATTTCCATCTATACCAGATTTAGCACACTGTTCGACTGCAGCTCCTGCCAATGATGCAAGACAGATGCTAGGGAATCCATTTTAAGAAGTCAGGTGACCAAGTCAAATTTGAAATTTGTACTCCAGTACTCTATAACATCTTTGCTTGCACTAGGGGACCTTCTGTTCTCAGGGTTTTGTACTGTTGCATGGTTTTTTCAATGCATGTTAAACACCACTAAACATCGCAGATTCCATCAACGACAATTTGTGCATTTGTTCAACCCAATGTTGTGATTAGTACAAATACAGGAAAAAATAATTTCGTTTTATAATCTTTCAAACAGATAAATTTCAACCAGGTACTGATTCAAAGGTTGTCCAACGTCAAATGATCAAAATGCGCATTGTACATGTTAACAAAGGCATTTTTCTCTGCACAGAATGACAACTTACATCTAAATTCACTCATCCTATGTAAATATGAAAATTTGTACACTCTAATAGTCAATCAAACATTTCTCCCAAGATGGAAGAGATGATTAAAGATCATCATACAACAGGGAGAGATAGAATAACTATGGAGGACATACACGAAAGCAGTACATATAAACAGATTTCTACAACTTAGAAGATATGGGTGCACTACCAGCTATCCAAATGTCGATATGGACAAATTACTGACACGTAGTAAGAAAACATACAATGCCACAACTTACAACCATGCTAACACAATACCATATGGCTTTTTCTCTTCTTTTTTTTTTTTTTTTTTGCTAAGTGTGTGTGTAGCTTGTGAAATACATGAGACAAATGAAATCAGCATAAATAAATAGATTGCAACAAGATATGGTTGCACTGTCAACTAGACAAATGATCAACAACCTTTTCTTTATTTTTACTAATTTTGCCCCTTAAAAGATGCCATGAACCCAAGACAGTAGAACTCTATTATCAAAATCTTACGATTTGCGATTTGATTCACGGTTTGATTCGCAATTTTTGCAAAATTGATACGAATCTATGGGCGAATCTATTTTGGAAGTGGATCTATAGTGAATCGCACGATTCACAATCAATTCACTTTTTATGATTCATGCAATTCTTGAAACTATTGCGTCTGACATATTTTCAACTATTTTTTTCTCCATCTTTTTAGTGAAAATGACATATTTCAACTTTTAATAACGTTTAGTACCAAAATAACCAATATATATACATAATTATTTGTTATTTAGTGATCATGGAGTTTTTAATAAAATCCAATCAGATTCAATCTGACCTAACATGTTTTGAACTTTTCTTCTTATTTTTTTCCTTAAAATATTATAATATATCTTCTAAAGATATTTGAAGTTATAACTAACATCATAAATTATCTATTGCTATTTTATTAAATTAAATATAGTTGAATATTATATGAGTGAGGTCAGTTATACTTTTTAAAATGTTTTAGGCTTTAAAATAAAAGATCCTAAATAATTCTCTCTTATTATTTGGTCATTGTTACTTGGAAAAATATGTATGCTTATTGTCTAAATATCAATTTGTTGTTGAATTATTGTTATTTTGAAAATTGAGTTTGTATTTGTTTATTGTCTTTATTAAGAATGGTTGATAATTATCTCAAAAAAGGAAAAATGTAAGATTGTGATCTTACATAGAAATTTGTTAATTTCTTACCTATTAAACTATGTGACCACAAATCTTAAAAAAAAATAAAAATAAATATGTGACCATAATTTAAAACAACATTTTCATTCATTTAAGTCTAAACATTTCATATTCATAAGACATATTTAACATTTAAGTGTATAGATATATTTTTCTAAGTAATTTAGAAAAAGTGATGAATCTTTACGATTCACGATTCGGTACAAGACCATTTCGATCCACGATTCAAATTCCGATTTGACAACTATGCAGTAGAGTATGCTTGTCTTTATATTTTTCCCTTTTGAGTGAAGGAATCCTAAATAAACTATAAAAAATAAATTTAAAAAAAAAAAACTATTCTCTTTGTCTTGTTTTCTTCCTTGTCTTCTTATATAGTGGGTTGGAACTTTATTCAGACCCCAGCCTAGGGCTCAGTATCAGAAGTTTAGCCCCCCCCCCCTCCCCCCTCTTCAATTTATTTTTCTTCTTTGTGTCTGCTGCTTATCTCTGACCTATCTATCCTCTACCTTGTCTTCTTAGAAGAAGTCCATAAAGAGATGGAATGTACCTAGATATAAAATCCCAACCCTCTATTACCCTAATCTCCTTTTTCAGTGTATCATGACATGGCAAGTAGCTTGGCCTAATCAAGCACTGCTTTTGTGGTTCGTATGTCTACTTGCATTATTATGTATTAACCTAAGAAGCACGGATACGGATACGGATACAGATACGGATACGGATGCGGACACGGTGATCTCAAAAAAATTGAGATGCGGGCATGGTGAGGACACAACAATAAAATATGTTTTCATATATTTTTATTTGCTATCTAGATTAACATTACATTCACAAATAATTAATACTAACTCTAATTCTTTTTTTATTTTTCTTTTTTTAAAAAAAAAAAAACACTTTTAAATTAACACTTGTAGTTATATATTTTTTTATGGATGATCTATTAAGTATTTAAATCTAAAAAAATAAAAATAAACATCTAACATTCATTAAAAGTAATAAATAAAATGGGAGAAAAGACAACTTGGTATGTCTCTAGTGTGTCCTCGAAGTGTCCCTAACGTGTCCCCTAAATATAAATTAATTAAATAAGGGGACACGCCATGTAGTGTGTCCCACACGTGTCCTTGAAGTGTCCGCGTGTCCCCAAAGTGTCCGTGTGTCTGACACGGATACGGCACTTGTTTTGAAGTGTCAGTGATTCATAGGTATTAACCAATAATCCTTCCACTTGAAAATTTATATATCAATAAATTTGACAACACTGATTCCACAACCTTATGTAACTCAAACGATATCTATTAAAGCTACTAGATAATAAATACTACAGAAACAAAGCATGACAACAAGAATGGAAGCAAATTAATACTTTCATATAATGATTGCCACATTCAAGAATCAAGGGCCAAATCTTCCAAAACCAAGTTGTGTACCGTCCAATTTTGGACTAAATGGAGATTCTATCTTTTTTTTGTTAATCTTAGGTTAGTATGCTGCTGGTATAATAGTATAAAGTAAGATGACATATCAACAAGAATCACCAAATTGCATTCAACTTAATCCATTGCAAGATCCTCGTTGATATTATCTTAACCCATTTATTTAACTTCCTAAGGATCAAAACAACCAAGAGTTGCATAGAAATATAATCCGCTATTCTATGTTGTATCTACGTACAACTTACAGACAAATTATACCATAAAGAACAAAATATAATAGGTCCAAAAAACAAAGCCAAAATCGACAAATAAGAAACAAATATACACAAAAGATGGCAAATTTACTTAACAAGGTAAATGGTACTAGGTCCCATTTTTTTAAATTGAGTTGTAATATATTTAAAACAATCATTTAATTTTTTTTAAAGAATGGAGAATGATACATTTCTCCTTATTGAATTTTACCTTGTAATTTGCAAATAAGCTATGACAATTATAGCTTTTGGAAAAAATTAGAAACAGAAATATCCCTCCACACCGAAGATTCATTCAACTCAAGACACATCTCCCCAAAAATATCTTTCATCAAAGTAAACACAATTAGAATAAAGAACTTAGGCTAGTGAGGGAACAATACCAATTCCTATGGTGCAAAGAATTTAATGTGGCATATCATAATAATCCTCCCTAAGACAATCCCACTGGTAAAACATCAAAGGCAAATAACCAAAGAGAAGATCATATGTGCCTATCAAACAACTTTAATTGGGCTAAAAATGCTTTGGACTTCCTGCATCCAGTGATGGAAGTTAGCTTTAATCAACTAATTTAAGGGGATCCATTTTCAATCAACATTGAACCTACGCAGAAGGAGGAATCGCCCGCAGTTCCTGAATATAGTCAGTATGAATCAAGAGAGAAAAGATCATGTCGTGATCTTTGAGTGTTGTGTATAATATATAGTTTCATAGAGTTTTAATTGAAACTTCGACCATACAGCATTTGCATTGATTTGAAAGCACAATAAAACCTAAAAATAGGGGGCTTGTGAATTAGCTACATGAGGATGACCTCATTGTAGTTTTCCTTCCCAATTACAATAACTGCACAATCATTAGAAGTTACAAAATTCTAGAGTAATCCATGGACAGAAAGAAAGAAAAGGATTGTGTGGAAATTGTAGATCATCATCAAAAACCAAGGTAGCGTTTGGTAGAGTTTTAGAATTATAATTTGAGAATACAGTTGTATTTTGAGTTTGTGAGTTTTGGAATTATGATTTGGAAAGAGAAAATTTATTTGATTATGAGTTTTGAATTTTTGATGTGACATATGAAATGAGAAAAGTTGTTTGCTTATGTGTTTTGAAAAGAGTTTTCAAAACTTAATTCAAAAGCTTATAACTCATAATCAAACACATAACTCAAAACTCTATTGAAAATTCTATTCAAAACTCATAACCAAACTCTTTTTTAACATTCAATTCAAAAAAAAATTGTCATTTTGGTCTAAAAAAATAATTTTTATATTTAAAAAATATCAAAAATAAATATAAATTTTTTTTTTTTTTTCCAAATAACATGTGGCGATTGGCGATTGCAAAAAAAAAAAAAAATTACACTATTCCGGTCAACCGGCCAGACGCCGAAGAGGATGACCAGGTAGACCCAAAATTCAAAAATCCTTGGCTTTTCAGAATGGAGAAGACGAAAGAGAGAGAGTAGCCAAACGTGAAAGAGAAATATATTTTGAAATGTGTGGTGGAATCACATTTCCAAAACTCTATCCAAACAATGCATGCAAATGGAGGGGTGGAATGATGATTGCAAAGCTTCACCAAACACAGCCTAAATTTTTCTTTTTTTGAATAAGTAACATTACTAAAATTTTATCAAGAAACCAAGGGGCAACACCCTTGTACAATCTGAGGTATAAACAAGAATAAATATAAAATACAAACTACAAACCAATCCCAAAATTTAGTTCTCCAATATCTTCCAAAAAAAGAAAAAAAAAAAAGAAGAAGAATCATAAAACTTCCCCTACAGCCAAAAATGAATACAACAAAGGAAGTTTAGCTTGATTAAAGGAATCATTGTTTCTATGTGCTCCATTCAAAGTTATGTTGATTCTCTCTCCAAACACACCACATCACGCGCATAGGACCCACCATCCATGCCTTCTTCAACCTCTTCAAATGACACCCATGAGCCCAACCCCCATATACAACTCTAGAATAGAAGCCAGAATTACCCAACTCACTCCAAAAACAAAGAACAAATTCCATTAATCTCTAGCAACATCACAATAAATCATGAATGCTCCACTAGTACCTCAGCCCTCTTGCACAAGCGACAACAATTGAACAAAAAAGTAGCTTTTTTTTTTTTCCAAAATCCAAAACCATCGTGCAACAAAAAATTGACTAGTGGGAACCCCGGAGTTCCAAACTGTTTCTGAAGAAAGGATTTATCCTTCCACCACCAATAGAACAATAAAAAATGTTTAGGACTTTTGACAATGTACTTGTGTCCCTTGTTTATAAACTTCAACTTGTCTCCCTATCCCCAAAGATCTGTACAGTGTACACCAGCCCAAAAAAAATACCACTGCCTATGACTCCCAATATTGAACAGCCTGAATGAAAAGAGGTTTCCACACCAACCCCCAACTATGAGAAACAAGATTAACAGATTTCATGAACAATAAGCATAAATAATAAGAAACGTGCCAAACAAGCAACATTCTCAAACAGTTGAGATTTGAAACTTTAAAAGAAAATTCAATCTAGCCTTAATTGAAAAGAACCGTAATTAATTTTACAAAAAGAAGCAAGCAAGATACCAAAGCAATAATTTATAAAGCATACCTTCATGTTTAGGTAAATCGCTTGCCAAGGTATCATGAACCCCATCAGGCTCCATCAAATTCTGCACAAACAAGAACCAAAACAAGAAACATTGTCAACTCTAGTCGCTTTAAACAAGAACAATGAAATAGTTTGAAACATACTCCTAGTCCCTAAAAAAATGATGATGATGTCGGCACTAGCAATGTGAAAAATCATAATGATGCAGAAGCCTTAACAGTGTGATGGTGGTGGGTTAACACACAATATGTTGTGATGGCAAAGAAGATAACGGTGCAAGCAAAACAAAAACATGGACTGCAGCAACTGAAAACTTCATTTTATTTCCCAAATTCTATCCACAAAAACAAGCTACAAAGTCCACCAATATAAAACTAAAGAGCAGTAAATAATTGAATAAAGTAATTACCTTCTCAGTGGCATCAGAAACAGATTTTTTAGTTGAATAATCTGTGTTCTCAATGACGAATTGACCTCTTTTAGCCCCATCCATTACTATTCCATCATCACTAATTGTTTCCTTAGATGAGCATATCACTTTGTTATCCTTCAAAATCTTAATGTTGCTTTTGGTTTTTCTCCGTGGTGGAACCGACTTAACAGGAACAACATCAGGGTTATCTGACTTTGATATCTTAATAGCATCCGAATCCTCAGAAGCCCCTGTATCATCCTTGGACGCAATTGAGGATTTAATTTTAACTTTAAGATTTTTCTGTAATGTACCAACATAAGCATGATTTCTAAGCCATGTCACTATTTTGCAATGCAAGTCAGGGACCACACAATCATCCTGTGAAATCAAAACAAAGATGAGAATAAGATACAACTAAAACTATTCAATACATAATACGCGTGTTTAAATGTATAACATAACCTATCCTATTCAGACATTAATTATAAATATGAACACTTGCTGAAATTGTGCATTACAGCAAGCATTGAGGCCAATGAATCAGGTGAAACGCCAATCTCCGAGGCTATATCCTTCACATTGACTTTTCCTCGATCAATTAACTGCAAAAAAGCCAAACATAAAACTTAAAAGAAGATAAAGCTTATACATAATTTCTACTACAGATGAATTTCCATATATAAAATATTAAATAATAATGGAAGTATCTGGTTCTGCAATCTACCTTCTTGAGAATCACAATAAAATCCAAGGAGTCTGATGTGTTAGCATCTTCATTGGTGCTCCTCTCTAATGTCTCTGCACTAAGAGGTTGCTGAGCATCACCACATTCAGACTGAAGTTTACAATTTGATCTGGCATCTGACAATCCTTCTTCGTGCAGTATGCTATTGCCTAACTTATTGACATTAGTATTGGCTTTTTCAATGTGAACAGAGATTTTATCTCCATTTTTCCTGCCAATTTTTAACTTAGGCAATTTGTTAACTGTTTGCGTCACTGATTGATGCTTGGTAATGCATGAATCGGAACCAGTTGCTATAGATACATCTCCTGGTTGTGGAATGCTGCTAACATTCTGAACTTCAGAATGCTTTGAACAAAAGGCCCGTAACTCAACCTTGTTTTTTGTGGGGGAGGGAGAGAAAAAAGATTTATCAGCAAGCCACATTCAACACAACACCAACCATTCAAAGAAACAAATAACAAGTCTTACATCGTCACATCCAAATTTTCCCCAAATCTCCATTCTGTGCCTTGCCTCCCTCGCACATATAGGATGGAATGAAGTTCTGCAAGTTCCTAAGCAGACACAAAAACAAATAGCATATTACCAACAGAGCACCATTATCACACACTGAAAATCCTATCACACACACATGCACACAAAAAGAACAAGAACAAAAGCAAGAACAAGAAGAAAGAAAAAAAGAAAAAGCACTTTCTTTAAGAAAAGGGGCAAGCATAACTGATGTTATAAGTTAATAATGATTTGACGGGCGCAGCTAAACGAGATGTCTGGTCGCAACTACTGGAGCAACATGCAAAGCATGTAATGGGTTAGAGGATTGGGGAAAAACCTAACATGCTTGAGAGAGGAATCTGCAAATTAGTATCACAATAGGCAATACAGCTAACAGCCCGGTAAGCATATTGATAAACAAATATAAGAAAAAACTAATAGAGTAGGATAAGCCAACACAATTGCCAGATTTTAACCACAAATTTTAATGATGAGAGGAAATTTTCACTTGTAGAAAAAAAAATAGACTTTGGCCAAGAGATATTTGATGCTGAAATTTGATAACCACGACCAAAACAAAAAATAAGGCCAGAAGGAAAAAGAGTTGTTGCATAGCGCTTTATAAATTAATCATGAACATGTTGGATAATCTGGAAACAACTTAGACACATTAATGGCACATTAATGACCAACTTAGACACATTAATATCAACTAGAGAGCCGTCACCCTATGTGTGTGCAAAACATGGCTTTCAACAATAATGTAATGGGAGAAAGAGTAGGAATCAGAAGTTGCAAGGAACGTATAGTCATTGTGTACTCCAGTTTTTTCCATTTTTGCCAAAACAGTTACCAATAGAAATATTTTTAACATTGTACAAATGTTTTTTTTTTTTTTTAAATTGTACAAATTTTTTTTTTTTTTTTTTTTTTTAAGAAAACAATTTTGACATTGAAATTTGCATGACACATCTTAATTTTGTTGTTGACACCAAACTGAATTGTTGGCTTTATATAATAGTATAGATAGTATATATGAATACCTATACCCATGCCAAATAGATGCAGTGATAAGCACACAACAAAACCACAGCTCCATAATAGAATTTTCATTCAACCGTTTCACAGGTGAAAGGTTCTACATTTAGAATCAAAGAGAATACTGATCCTAAGTAATTGTCCAGAATCTGAACACATGCTGAACTTACAAAGAACCATGACCCAGGGCAGAAATGGGAGCACAGAAGCGAGGAAGGACAAGAAGAATTATGTCTTGAGAGTGCACTATGGTCATGGGTACATATAATAAATTAGATATATATGGGTGGAGGGAAACAAATAGAGAATTAAGTTTAAAAAATAAAAATAAAAAAACAAAACAAAACAAAAACTAGATCATCTATAGAAATTAAAACAACACCATTCACAACAAAAGCAATAGGCTTTACAAAGATCCTTTAATTTTTAATTTTTTGATAAATAAATCATTTTATTAGAAAACGAGCATCAAAGAGATGCAAACAAATACAAAGAAACATAAAAAACTACAACAACCTATACATATAAATCATCTATAAAGTCCACCAACGAAAATAAATCCGGATACACCTTCCAGAAACCCAATTATACAAAATGATCAAAAACTGATTCTTCGACCAAACCAGCCACATAAGACACAACGGCGTCAAATCCCAAGCCTTCCTACGACGTTCACCAACCTAATCACCTCTCCAACTACACAACACAACCTGGACCCCATCACATCACACTATACCCAAACCACACCAAAGACAAAGAAAATCAAACCCCAAAGCTAGACCACCACCGGACATACAATAACAAATGTGAAATAGTCTCAGCATCCCCGACACCAAATGCAACACCAATTGACCAAGATATGACAACGACAGATGAGATTATCCATTGTCAAAATCCGGTCAAGCACTGCTGTCCACACAAAGAAAGTCACTTTGGACTGCACATGAGGGACCCGCACATGACACCACAAAAAAATACTGCCCTGTGACCCACCATAGCTCGATAGAAAGAAGAGACCATAAAAACCCATTTAGCACCCTTAACCTACCAATTGCCCACCACCCGGATATCATAAAGGAAAGCCAACAACTCCACAAACACACCACCTAACCACCAGTCCTCCCCAAATACGACACCACCATGTCCTTATCCACCACTATCTGAAAAATTAGTGGGAACATAATTTCCAACGATTGATCACCACACCATCTATCCTTCCAAAACCTCACGCGCTCCCCACACGAAAACCAACCCACTTATCAAACTCCCCCTTCCCTAAAGTTATACCTTTCCACAACCCCAAACCATGAGATGAAGTGGAGGATTGGAGTTCGAAGGATTCTTTTATTTTGGACAAGACTATGTTTATATAGGTATAGATAGACTACCAACTGCACATACCAATCAACAGAAGAACCTCCCACCAGGCCATCAAACTGCATGCATCTTTTTGTTTGATAAATAAAAGTCAATTTTATTAACGAAAAAGCATAAATACGATGCTAACAAATACCTATAGGCATCTTAATTTGGTTGCTGACTTTTAAAAATAATTAACTTCGCTTATTTCTTCTTAGTTCTTATAAAAGTAAAAAATACAGTTAACAACCAGGGTGGCACCACATAAATTTCAAGGGGTTCACTTGAACATCCTGAAAATATACACACACACACATATATATATATATGTATAATATCAATCATATATATCTTGGAATTTCAATTGTGACATCTAATAAAAAATAAAAAAAATTGAACACCCTCGATGTCAAGTCCATCCCACTCCAAAAAAGTGTTATCCAACCCATTGAATAATTCTCCATTTGTTCCTCTCCCGTGATGGGTTGTTGATCTTTTTGCAGTTTGAGGAGTGTGGTGATAAGGTTTTGTGTTGCAAAGTCAAATGTCTTTTGGCATGGGTTGCAGGTTAAAGATGGTGTATTGCAATGGTGTGTGCATTTCTTGGTGTTTCCATTCTTTGACCATGGAGTTTTGGTTGTTGGGGGCAATAGATTGATTCCTAGCTGTTGACTAGACATTTTGCTTTGGTGGTTCAAAGTAGAGAATAGTTGTTTTGTTGGTTTTTGTGAGCTGAACTATATGAGATGATTGGTATATGCTTTTTTGTTGGTCTCAAATGCTGATATGCTTTGCCATTTTGAGCATTCATTTAAGGTGTGTTTCCTTAATTGTTTTCGATGAGCTGAAGTGTATTTAAAATGCTTCTTGATCTTTTGGATACTTTTCACCTGAGTTTCTTTATTAAAATGCTTGTTGATCTTCAGTGCTACTCTGTCAAATTGAGTATATTATTTATTAGTTCTGCCATTATGGATAAACTTTCTGAAAAAGAAATTATTTGTTAAGTGTGATTTCTTTTATCTAATTTGTAAAATTTAAATTTTTGAATATCAACATGAGAAAATTTTCTGGAGCCACCACTATTTATAGTGGCATAGTTGATACAACATTCTTCGACTGCTCAGAGACAAGTCAAACATGTAATCAAGATGTCATAATACAAAATCAACACCATACAATCCACATCATCAGCTCAAATATGATCGCATCTGCAAGCTAAAGATTTGCAATATCCATATATCCCAATAAACAAATGCTCTCCTGGCTAACCATCCAACAAAGAAATGCAGAGTGGTGTAAATAAGGAAGCAACAAACATACCATTACTGCACCGAACACAGGCACCACACTTCACCTTGCATAAATAACAAACCAATTTTCTCCGTGTTTCCTTTATTCCTTCAATGTTCATTATTGGCTCCATTGTCCTTGTATCCTGTATGTATACCTCAGGAATCCATTGACAACAAAACAAGTGAGCGAATTCCATGGACCCACCATTTTCACTTTGAACATCTCTCTTGCTAACAGGTTTTAAAGCACCACCCTGCTTCGGGCACAGCAGACAATGCCTGACAGTGCTATGGACTGCATTCCTCTGCTTACACCAAGAACACAACCAAGAACCAGCTAAATCATCCTGCACACCATAGCACCTCTGATGAACTGCTACATTACAAGAACTGCAAACAATTAAACGGTTCAACTGATCACCCGTGTCACCCAAGCTACAATAGTGACATAAAGATGACAATCCTTCAACCGAAGATGCAAAAAGTAGCTTCCCTAACCCTGCATCCCTGCCCAGAAGTTTCCGTTTCTTCGAAGGCCGCTCTGAGGTGAGATATATCTTATTTCTGGAACCTAAAAGCCACTCTACACCACTACATGATTTTTTCAACTGTGACAAGGAAGAGCCACCCTTTTCTTCTTGAAGCAAAACATTAGCTCCTGAACTATCTACTTCCACAAAATGCTCACCCTGATAATTAACCTCCTCTTTCACAACAACTCCACAATCAGAACCAACCCCATTTGCATTCACATCATTCAAATTTCCCAAAACTGGAATTAAAAAACACTTCTGACTAGCTAGCAAATTAAAAGAAGACGGTTGGTGTAACTTGTCAATGTCATCCACACTCAATTCCCTGAAGTACTCCTCAGTCTCAACCCAAATGTTCGACCCACGGGACTTCTCTACCCCGGCTGCCCGCGACGACTTCGCCTCCACACCCGAATGAGACTTCTTGTGCCGCTTCCGACTATCCGAATGCTTGGACAATAAATTCGCCAAACCACTGGGGAGAGTAAGAATATTAGATGCCTGAACATCCTCAGTATCAAACGGCGAGCGCCAAGACAGCGCCTTCCGAGCCTGCGTATAGAAATCGGGTTCTTTCGCGGGAAATTTGATCATAGCCCTAGAAATTGGGGACAAATTCACCTCTGTATCGCAACCTTCGTCCACACCACCACCAATCATCTTCCTCCACCGGTGACATCGGCCTCCGTTCATTGCCTCCGCCATCCACCACCACCCATGAATTCCATCAAACCCTAACCCTAACCCTAACCCTAACCGTTAGCGGTACCTCCTATTGTTTGGACCTGATAGAGAATCTGTATAGAGAGAAAGATCGTTCGGGGAGATTGGGGGAGAGGAGGGGAGTCGAAGCTAGGGTTAGGGTTTGCTGTAATTGTCGTTGGTTGTCCTTTGGATCCGTTTTTGCTCGAGTGAAATTATTTTCCGCAGTTGGATTTCGCTTTCGAGGAGATGAGGGATAATAGAGATATTCCCAATTTTTGGCAGAAAGCCAAGGCAGGTCCGTTTTAATTTTTATGTTTTTTATATAATGGGATGGGATTCTTTTTCTCTTTTTGTGAAACCGAGGCCTCGTTTAGGAACCTTACTTTTACTCAAATTGGTATATGCTTTTTTGTTGGTCTCAAATGCTGATACCCTTACTTTTAGTCAAAAAAAATTAAAAAATTATTAAATTAATTAAAAATTAAAAATTTATATTTAAAATTTAAAGATTATCTTTTTTTTTATTTTTTACATATTTTTTCAAAAAAAAATCTAAAAATCGTCCCAAATATACTAATTTTTTTTAGTTTATATTTTAACTAAATAGTCAAAAAGTTACTAAATTAACATCCCAAACATACTAATTTTTTTTAGCTCATATTTTAGTTAAATAGCCAAAAAATTATTAAATTAATATGTTCCAAACGAGGCTGATTTATATTTTATGAAATTATTTGTAAACAACAACAACAAAAAAAAATCATTGTAAATTTATTTTATTTTTTTAAATCTATAAAATTTAAAATTCTATTTAATAAATAAAAAACCATCAATTACCTCAAATCAAATAAAAATATTATTATAATAAAAATATTATTATTATTTATTTGATAATTGAATAAAATTACAAAGATCGCTTGAGTCTATGAAAATAATGTCCAAAATTATTTTTGGATTTAATTAGTCAAGCGATTTTTTTTTTAATATGGCTAAATTGTCTAAAACTTCGCCGACTTAAACACAATCGTAATTCATATTCAACAAGTTTCTATTAATGATGTGAGATTTAGGCTTAGTTTGGCATAATAAAAAAAAATTAAAAAGTCACTATCCTATTTAAGTCACATCATCTTATTTAAGTCGCGTCACCTCTCTATCACATCATTTCAAACTCAACCTATACACATCCTATATTACATAAAAAGTCAAAAAATACACTTATTTAAGGCATTCCAAACAACTCCTTAGGTTTTGTTTTTTTGTTGTAAATTTTTTGTGTATCATTTTTTTATTTGATAATAAATAGTGAGCCAATTATTTATTTATTGAAAACCTTTTAATAAAAAAACTAGGCCTAGTTTAGGAAAACTAAATAAGTGTACTTTTTGACTTTTTATGAAATATAGATTGGGTTTATGTTGGGTTTGAAATGATATGTTAGAGAGGTGATGTGACTTAAATAAGATGATGTGACTTAAATAAGATAGTGACTTTTTGACTTTTTATCTTTTTTCAATCATGCCAAACTTGGCCTAAACATTATGTTGCTAATTTTTGTAAGCCATTTTTTTGTAATGAGCTAACAACCATCTCATTTAGAAATGTGTCTCATTTGTACAATTCTAAAGATAAACATTATAAATCATTCTATAAGATATTGTGATTTGCAGAAGATTGTTAACACACAAAAAATATAAAATGAAATTTATTTGTTATGTAAGATTGTTTTACATGAAATTATATTTTTAAGTCAAGTGATTTACTTAAAACAAACGACAGCTGCCACTTGCACTGTTGCTTTGTTTGTATTTCCCATAAGCCTGGGACCAAACGCTGAAATAATATTAAAATATAAAAAAATGTTTGGAAGTTTTAATTATTGACCTCTAAAATCAGTTTCAATGTGATGTGATATTTTAATTTTATTTTAATTTTAATTTTTTTTTGTCATTATCAGAGACACTAAATTAATACTCTGAATATATAATATCTCTCTAAAGAAATAATATTAAAATATATGAATAATGATTAATTTTTTTAGACAAGGGCTCATGGTTCGTTAAAATATGTTCATTGTGTCAATTTTATATTGTGCAAGTTCAAGTTCTTTCTCGTTAACTTACACCTACCTTCCTAAAAGATGATTCTTATCGTGATAACGGGGTCTTTTGAAAAGTGATTATAATTTACTTTTCAGATTATAACCTACTTCCCTTTCTTATGAGTCATTGTTTATGATGTGGCACGATATGGGCCATAGAATAAGTGCATATCATATGCCCTTTTATAAGGTGCACATTGTAGACTTTTCCTTCTGTTTAATATAAATTCTCTCATCATATTTAAAAATTTATATTTACCCTTGTAAGATTAAAATGACATATTTACCTCTTATCTTTTATATATATAAAATAACAAAATAATACAGATATTTTATTCATTTTATTTCAAGAGAAATAACAATCAGTGTGTTTGGTTTAAGTTTTCTGAATTAAATTTTTTGAAAATTGAGTTTTTTTATTTTCGTATTCTTTTGTTTTTAGTGAATATTTTAAAAATTTTAAATATTTTTTTTACTTTTTTAGATGCACCTTAGTTAGATGTATCTAAAAAGTAAAAAATTAGTGAAAAAATATTTTAAAAAATTAATAAATACATAGAAATAAAAAAATTGTATTGAATTCTTGTATTTTTTTTTTTATATTTTTGGTATTTAGTGAATTTTTAAAATATTTTTTTACTTTTTAGGTGTATTTATGTTAGGTGTATCTAAAAAGTAAAAAAAAAAATTTGCTTAAAATATTAAAAAAATTCAGTAAAAATAAAAAACACAGAAAATAAGAAAGTCAAATTTTCTGAAAAGTATTTTTCTGAAAAATGAAAACAAACAAGCTGAATTGTCTTTTTTTGTCTACTTACACAAAAAGTTGAGTTTTTTTAATTTTTCATTTTTTTACTGGATTTTTAAAAATATTTTAAGCAAATTTTTTTTTTTTGGATACACTTAATCTAGATATACTTAGAGTTCATTTGGGAAGTGAGGTGATTTTTTGGCTTTTTAATTTTTTTGACTGTTTTAGCTTGAAGTTAAAAAGTCTCGTTTGGGAAGAACTTTTGTTTTTTTTGTGAGATGAATAATGTAATGATTATAGATTTGATATGATTTTTGTCTTATTGGGCTAAAAATTCTATTTTATTTTTTGTGGCTAAAATAGCAAAAAAAAACTTCAAACTTGGCTTCCAAACAAAGACTAAGTATAATATTTTGTGATTTTTTTTTAAAGTTTAATGTCTAAGAGCATCTCCAACGGTAGTAGGCATTTTACCTATCTAAATATTACTATAAAGTATATATTTTATTTTGCCTATCAACTGTTTTATGTTTTTACTCCAACCATGCTCTTTATTTTACCTATTTATCCAAATACTATTAATTTTATAGAATGCCACGTCAACAACAAAGATGGAGGGAATTAATCCTAATGATTGAATACATTTTGCCTAGCGTTGAAGGCTAGCTACATGTAGCTAGTGAATATGAGTTGAGCCAAAATGCCTAATCATATGCCTAGTGCATTGGAATTGAAAAAAGTGAATCACACTAGGCATTTTAACTAACAAGTATCATATGCCTAGTGCATTGGAGATGCTCTAAGACCCCATTTTTTTCTCACCCCCTTTGACCCCCTCTCTCTCTCTCATTGGTTGGATTTTTTTATTTTTTTTTTCTTCTGTCCTCCAATCACCACCTGCTGCATGTGTATGGGGGTGGTGATTGAAGAGGGTCTCCATCACTCCTCTTTTTTAAATTCACCAAATACAAAAATAAAAAATAAAAAAAAGTTGATACATTATCTTTATTTTGGTTGTATTCCATGCATTTTTTTAAAAATGTTTGTACAAATTTTCTACTTATTATTAATATATGTAGATTATATTGATCTAATATAGATATTATGGTGGAAATAAAAAAAAATTATATTCACTAATGGTTCAGCTTCAGTAGTAGAGGTGGGAGAGGTAGAAGGTATGTCAAAGAGACTAGCTAGTCTTCCTTCAAAAATGTCTACCTCATCCCTTGACATGAAGGGCATAGAGAGTGCTGTGGTGGAAGACGCAAAGGGCTGCATAGGGATGGGAGAAACGGATGGAGTATCTTTGGCAGCCTTTATGGTCTTAGCCACCAGCAAATCAAGTGAAGAGGGGCTGGAAAGGGGCATTGGTGATGAGCCATGAATTGAAGAGCTTCCAGTGTCCTCCTCTGTGGAAGAATCAACTGCCATTGGGAATGGAGCAGCAGTTGGAATTTCTGTCGAGGACGGAGCAAGGCTCGAAAGGAAAAGTAGTCTGAGGTAGGTCACGAGCCAAAAAAGGGAGGTATGGCTTTAATCCAAGAAAGAGGGAGGCAGGAATACTGGGACTTAAAGAAGGTACGCCAAATATAGGCTTTGGAAATGGTAGTACGATTCGAACAACCCTGACACTCTGCATTTGATCAACCTCAACCGAAATTGAGGAAGGCCTCATTGGAAAGGTGAGTGCAGTAGTTGTCGCTGCAAAAGGAAGAAATGCAGAACAATGTTAAACTTCAATACCACAAGCTGACAAAGTAAAAAACAGCAGAGGTATGAAAGAAATTACTTGTTCCAGAGGCGCTAGCACTGATGGGAGAATTACGGAGAAAGTAATGTCCAGCAGTCTGCTGCCTTCTAGCCATGTCCCCTTGTGTTGCATCGGCAGTAGCAGCTTCCTCTCTTAGCATTTGCTCTTGCCACCTCTTCTTGGCCCTCTCAAATACAACGATTGCCTTGGAATGTTCTTGTTGGACTGCCTTGGCAGCTGCTTTATGAGTAGAGTCCTCAGCATGGTCAGTGACAGGAACAGTCATTTTCTTTCTCCTCTCCCTTGGCAGAGATACAACCAATTCTTTTCCAACCTCCCCTTCTTCAGATCGGGGTTCAGACTCTCCAGAGATAAGTTCTTTCTCCGCTATTATGGTGGCTGCCTCGCTAACAGGATTTTCAATAGCATCAGATGAAGAAACAGCTACCTTTTGTCTCTTTGTTCTTTGTAAGGGCACTTCCTTCTCTGGCTCAACCTCTCTTTCTTCTTCAAGAGATTCAGATACTTCAGGAGGAAGGACTAGTCTCCTTTTTGTTTTTTGTTGTTGTTTCTTCTTGAGAATAGCTAAAGTCTCGGCTCTCTTGGGAGACTCTTCTTGTGAAGACCCTACACCAAAAGCATGAGTATAAGGAAACCAACAAAAGATTCAGAAATAAAAGAGGAGAAGAACTTGAAGATACTCACCCTTCTTCGAAGCAGCTCTAGTAACCCTGGCTGGAAGGGGTAAAGTGGCAGGAGTGGTGGTGACAACTTCAGGAGGGGGAGAAGTGTTCTGGGCTGTTGTTGACTTATCCTTCGAAGGCAATCCCAACCCCACCAACAAGTCATGAGGGTGTACAGAGAGGCGCACTTCCATATTGGCTGTCCACCAGTTCTTAAACCTTTTTAAAACTGAGCCAAAGGGGCGAAAGGGGATAAATTGGAATTCACTCAATTCCTTCAGCAGTCTGAGTACTGCTGCCTCTGGCTTGGATTTGGGTATTCTCAAATCCCTGGCAGTGAGATGGACATTTGAAAGACTGCAAAGAGGAACAGGTATCCCTTGAGAGAGCCCAAATTGCCTTGCAAATTGAGAAGGGCAGTATACCTCAGATATGCATTTATAGGCTCGAGGGTTCAGAGTGCCAATGAACAGCTCCCTTGGTAATAATATAGAGGCCCACATATCTTTGTGGGGAGAAGTGGAACATTCCTTATCAGCCAGAAAAGATTGTAGCCAGGTTGGCCCTCTATTGGCTTCGAAAGGACAAAAGAAGGAAGCAGATGGAGAGATAGGAAGTTGATAAAAGAAGGTAAAGTAATAAGCAAAGGAAGCAGGGTAAAGAGCAATCCTGGCATATTTTTCCCCGTAAGTACTAGGATCCTAGGTTAACACACTCCTCGGTATTATGGCTGTGGTCCTGATGGAAACAGCAATATTTGGATTGGTCTCGTCGGTTGGAAAGAAACCACGACAATTGGGGCCATTTTAAGGGGTAATCTCGTTGGATCTGGTTCAAGACTTGTTCCATGGGGGAATTGAGGGGTGAGTATTGTTCGAACTGGCCGGGCGGTCGGGTAGGCGCCGGTCGGTTGGCTCGAGCTGGTCGGTCGGTATACTGAGGCGTTTACTGTGTGTACTGGGTGTTTTTGGTTTCAGAGTCCTTTCACTTCTCTCTGGGGATCGGGTTTTTGGCTGTGGAGTCTTGTCGGGCGGCTAGGGAATCTTCGGCGTGGAAGTGGGTTGGCTTTTTAATTTTTTGACTTTTGGGACTATTTTAGCCTAGGCTAAAAAGCTTGGTTTGGGATGAATTTTTTGACTTTTTAGTTTTTTTGACTTTTTTTGTGAGAGTAGAGTATAATAATTATGGGTTAGATGTAATGTTTTATTTGTTATGACTAAAATAACCTATTTTGTCTTTTATGGCTAAAATAGCCCGAAACTAACTTGCCAAACGAACCCTAAAAAAGTTAAAAAGTTAATACTATTCATCAAAAGTCAACAATTACGACTGCACAACTCTCAATCTTAATTTTTTTCTACAAATTAATTTTTACAAATTTTTATCACACATTTTTTCATAAAAAATTAAAAAATTAACTCAAACATTCATATTTTATTCCTCAATTTTTTAATCTAAAAAAATAAAAAATACAGTTATTTAAGAGACCTCAAACAATCCCTAAGTGTAATTTATCTTATTTTATATTTATTAAGACACAGGATGTTATTTTTTACCTTATCTTATATTTATTTAACTCGATGTCCAAATTTGTACTCTTCTCTTCTCCTTCCAATTTTCAAGTAAGAAACGATGGGTTCGATAGAGTCACCGACTGGTACGGAAAACGGCTCAACCCCTTCCGTCGCTGGCGCCCAAAACCAGTCCGCCGGCGACGGACCACTTCCGGCGGCGTCAGATTCCGGCGGAAATTATCCGGAAGAGAACGACGCACCTAGGAAGAGGAAAGCGAGTATGCTGCCATTGGAGGTCGGTACTCGCGTCATGTGCCGTTGGAGGGACGGGAAGTATCACCCCGTCAAGGTCATCGAACGCCGCAAGATGCACAACGGCGGGAACAGCGATTACGAGTACTACGTTCACTACACTGAATGTAAGGATCTATATCACTTTCTTCTATGTCTCTCTTCTCAATTTTGATAGTTAGGGTTAGGGTTTATGTTTATGCCTATAGATGTATTATGTGTATTCGATACGAGCTTGAGAAGTAAACAGAAAAGGACTGTAATTGCAAAGGGTAGAATTTCAGAGGAAAGTGTTGAATGCTTAACTGACTAGAACAATTTGGGCTCCGGTTTTTTTGACTTAAAAATTAAAATATTTTACACAAAAAAAATATTTTTCTTGTAAAGGAAAAATGTTTTTGTTTTTCTTTTGAGTGGTGCTACATACTAATTAGTGCACCTAGTTATGACATTGTTATTCACCCGTTATACAAATTACAAGTATTAAAAATATCTTAAATTATGTCACATCATCAATTGGTATACTTGGTACACTAATTAGTGCACATAGGATTAGTCTTTTTCTTTTTCTGGTTGACACTTAAAACAAAAATATTTTATTGCTGAAAAGAGAAATTTGATTCAAGCTCCATTTGTTTTGCAGTGTTACAAAAACCAATATATATATATATATATTTTATTGTAAATTGATTTTACATAGAAAAAATGTTTTTCCTTTTCGGGGTTTGATTGACACTTGAAACAAAAATATTTTTTATTGCCCAAACCAGAAATTGGGATTCAATAAAGTGTTATTTATTACTTTTTAGTGAGTGATGATATTTATTTGAAAAGACTGAAAGTGTTGAAAAGGTAGTAAGTGAGAGTCAACTTTGTAAAAATTGACTTGCACAAATTTTAAAGGTAAGTTATTTTTGGAAAAATGATGCAAAAATATTTTTCTTAAAAAATGTTTTACTTGCTTTTTGTTCAACTAAACAGCGAAAAATGAGTAAATATTTTTAACAAAAACATTTTATGTCAAAACAAACGGAGCCTTTATTACACAATATACTAGATCTTCAAGATCAACTATCCAAAAATTAACCAACTTTTGACTTGCTAACTGCTTACTTGACGGCTAACTCTGTCCAACTGTTTTAACTACTTATTTAATCACTCAAAGCTCATTGGTTGTTATGCTTCCGGGCGCATAACCGGCCTGCTCAACACTCCATTAATGTTTGCATCAGTTTCTACATGAGGTGCGTTTGATTCGTTCTCCTTTGGCTACTTAGAAAAAAAGAGAAGAAACGAAAGAGAGGAAAATTTGGAACGTTTTGCTTTAAATGGTCAGGGTTTGCAAGAGTTGAGTAATTTAGGGCGAATTTCACTTTGTCAGTTGTGTGGTATAGACTATGTGCACATAACTACTGTCATTTGAAAATGACCACTTTAACTTGTGTGGTTTGTGAACTAAATGCAATGTCACCTTTTCTATCCAAATTAACAGAAAATGCATTACAGTCACCTATGTTTCCTATGATAAGGAGTTATGTGCTCATAATCTATACCACAAGGGGTGAAGTGAAGGGTTTAGTTCAGAAAAGAGGAAGAAGATAAAGGTATTAAAGTCAATTTACAAATAATGTCAATGAAAATTAGAGGTGTGTTTTTGTCCACCAATGCCGGGGGATTAAGTAGTTATCTACTGTGTGTGGGGCCTTGTTTATCAATTTTGATATTCTAGTGCTATTATTTGTACTGTGAGTCTGCCATTGTGAGGAATTAGCTTTGGCAGATATTAAATTTGTTATACATACTGTCAAATTTTTTGCACTGCCACTGATTGATTTCATGGCATGTTATGTTATGTATTATAAAACTTATTCACTAAGGAAGTAAACTGCCAGAAATATTATTTTTTATTTTTAATTATTGTGTTTTATTTATTTCATGCTATTTGGTTTCTTTCAGTCAATAGGAGGCTTGATGAATGGGTTAAACTTGAACAACTTGATCTTGATTCAGTGGAGACTGTTGTAGATGAAAAGGTGGAGGATAAGGTAATATATCTGTTCATGTTCTTCATTTGAAACTTTGAGTAATACTGAATTCGTTTGTCCAGTATGTTAAGATTCAGAGATAGAGGTCCTTCTAGTAATATGGCTTGCAGTTTATACTTCCATTGGTGTGCAAACTGCAAGCAATATAGAACATGTCCTACTATTGCTTTCCCATCTTGATCATGGACAATGCTATGTATTATGCACCAAAGGACAATCTATCTTTGATCTATTCCAATGTTATGGATTGTGTTGCCAACTTGATCGTGGATATGTTTTGTTATTGTTTTTCATTTCCTTGTTTATGTTTTTTTTTCTTTTCTTTTCTTCTTTCTTATTTGGGGGTTTGGGGGTGGGTGGGAGTAAGGTTTTAGGGTTCTTTGTAAACCTTATGTTATACAAACTCTTCCAAATTTGTGAAGTACCCATGTTGGACACTCGATACTTGAGTAAGGGTATGAGATATATGTTTGACGTGTTAGTTTGACATGCACCTCATCAAGTATGCTTAAATTGTCAGATTTACTTTGTAACTATGCGTATTAGTCCCATTTTATGCACAAATTGTTCTATGTCATTTTATTGAAAAAAATAGTATTTAAGAAATTTCTAGCTGTGTCATGGTGTCCTTGAACTTGAGAATTAGATAATCTAACACACACACACATACACATGCCCACACTTGAGTCCATGTAACAAACATGTTGTGGAAAACAATATTTTTATTAATGCTGATTGAAATGATTTCTTCACCCTTGATATTTTTAGGTAACAAGCTTGAAAATGACGCGCCATCAGAAACGTAAAATTGACGAGACACACGTGGAGGAGGTATGCACTTATCACCACTCTTACTTTTTTTCCCTCCTGATTGCTGCATAAGTTGTTTTTGTTATTGTTTTATCGGCGAATATATGGTGAAAACTTTTATAGAATGGTTTTATGCCTTTTAATTAATTGTCATTATTGGTTATTGGCGAATCAAAAAAAGAAGAAGAAAATTTATTGTAATTAATTGTTGATTAGTCCAAGGTTTTTTTTAGGTCATGCTAACAACAACCCTATGGGCTGTCATTAAGGTGGAAATAGTTAGAATTCCAATGCGCTTTTCACATATTCCCATACTTTTTTACATTACACGTACAACAAGACTAATGGCCCCCATTGTGTGGTCATTAACATTCTTGTTTTTTTTATAAACAAATGTATAAAAGAAAGTGCCAACTGGGGCAGGAACTTGTACACAAAGTATAGAAAAGGAAACAACAATAATTATACCGAAAGCCCGCTTATATTTCTACATGCGTATACAATTCCCTTAGAAAATTACAAAAGAATACAACAAAAAAGTAAAACCTTCTCTAAGCCAAAAGAGCAACGATGCCAACAACTTTCCTTTCAAGGCATAGATCAGGTATTCCTTCTCTACAATTCCTCTCTAAGTGCACTATATAATGCATAAAAGAGGCACATCCCAAACCCTCCTATTACCATTCCGTAGGCATCCTTTACTTTTTTTGTTTTTTTTTTTGTATTTTGATCAACAACAATAAAAAAAAAACTTTGTAAAAAAGAAACATAGGTAAAATACATTAAAAAGGACAAGAAGTCCACCAAGTAAAAGAAAAGAAATAAAATTAAACATGGCAAACAACCTTCTAATCTATAGAAATCAATAATAGAGGCACCCCATTAAAGGGAGATGATATCGAAACCCAAAAGATGACCAATAACAATCGTTGTCCCGTAGCTCATCATGTTCAAGCTAGTCCATAAAAAGTTCTTACATTTATTTTTGTCCAGATAATCCAAACCACAACATAAATCAAATTCTTCCATAGGAATTGGCCCTCTTAGTCTTAGCACAACCAAAATTTCTATAATCAACAATGAACATACTGGTACACAAACATGGAACTACCCAATCAACCTCCGCGAACTGAATTAGATGATACCATAATGCTATAGCCACAAGACAATATAGAAATAAAAGATCAATGCTTTCCAACTTCCTCCTGCACATAATGCACCATTATGGAAGAAAAAATTTTGGTCTCTTGTTTTGAAACCTTTCATTAATATTGAGTTTCTTATGAGTTAAAGTTAAAAGACGATCCGAAGATTTTAACCTTAAAGTTCACACATGCTTCCCAAATTAACTTATGAGGAAGAAAAAAAACATTAGGTTAGTATCATCAATAATCTTCTGATTCTACGAAGTCCAAGGTGAAATTCCAAATCTGCTCATTTTCATGTTAGCATGCTCCACATCACTCTGTTGCCTTCCTTAGATGCCTGTTACCATTGTTGGAAATTTTTTTGGGGTCTTTATTTCATGATCGCAGTGTGTTCACCATATACCCTTATTTGTATCTTCTTTTTCTTGAAGTGTGTATTTCGCAATGTCCACGGTCTGCTAGTTTCATTATGCTGGCCAGGTTTAGAAAGTGATAGTAGTAAGAATAAGTAAGAAAGAGAAGAGCTAAGATTCTAGAAAGGAAGCTAGTTTTTGTAGACATTTTTTAAAGAACTTGTAGCACCTAGTACTTCTTGTATGCATCAGATTTGTTGATTTGAATTTGGATCTTGGTGATCGTTATTCATGTAATCTCTCTCTCTCTCTCTCTCTCTCTCTCACACACACACACACACACACATAAAGGATTGACTATATAAATTAATTGGATTTGAACCAAGTAATATCTGATAATTTTATGTTAATAGAGAATTGACTTAAGTCACATGCTTTTGCTTCCTTTTTCAGTTTTATTTTGTTGTTGTCTTGAGGTTTCAATAAATGATAATCTGAAGATGTTATTTTCAACTGTGCAGGGCCACGAGGAGCTTGATGCTGCCAGCTTGCGTGAACATGAAGAATTCACCAAAGTTAAGAATATAGCGACTATAGAGCTTGGAAGATATGAGATTGAGACATGGTACTTCTCTCCCTTTCCACCAGAATACAATGACTCTTTGCAGCTGTACTTTTGTGAGTTTTGCCTCACTTTCATGAAGCGCAAAGAACAGCTTCAGAGGCATATGGTGAGCTTTGCCTCAATTTTTGTCTATCTGGCATTGCTTTCTCCAATTCAGATTGTGGTATAGAATATTTGTAATGAGAAAGAAAAGCAGTGTTGAACCTGTAGACTAGTATATTAATTTTTGCAGGATGTTGTAGTCAAGTATTTGCATGCATAAAGTTACCTATGTGCCTGCAAAATGTAAATGCTTCCCTTTGATTTCATCTACCTTGTTTCTTCTTCCTTATAGGAGACACCCTCTCATCCTATGTGATGGTTATATCCTTAGCATAACCTCTTACGTTGGGTAGTATTTTGTGCTGCATGGATTCTTACTGTCAATATGACATAGATATGGGGTGTATGGATGAGGTCTGTGTCCAATATGTATCAGACAGGTTCATATATGTGGGGATTTAAACATCATGTACTTCAAATTTGTCACATGCTTATAGTTCGTTTCGCAAGTGGTGATTTTTGCCAAAAAATCACTTAAAAAATCAAAAAGCCAACAACCTATACAAAAGTTGTGAATAGTGGAGTTATCTGCTTGTTTCGAGGGTCTCAAAGGCTTTGTTCTATCTATAACAATATGTTAAGAATTACAGTTTTCCAAGGTGTGTCTCATTCAATTCCATGGTTAGAGAGCCAGCTTCTTATGGTGTTACATAGTTGGGTTACAGTTTCAGTTGACCCAGATGTTCTGGCTTTTATAGATTTTGTGGAAGACTTGATTAGTTAGTTTTGTTTGGAGCCTAAGTGGGTTTTATATTCTTTGTATTCTTTGCATCCTCTTGATGCTTTTCTAATAAATTTTGATTATTTATCCAAAAAAAAAAGAAGTTACAGTTTTCCAGGCAGTTTGAGTCAAACACAAATCATTGGGATTGTTGTTCTTGCTTTGGCTAAAGGGGATTTAATTGTGGGAAGAATTTCAATTATTTTGATAATTGCTGTATTTAGGTATTAAATATTCTTTTAGGCAAACTTGTATATATGTTTTACATGTACATTTTTTTTTTGGGGGGTAAAATAATGGTTGAAGTTTTTTTTTTTTTTTCATGTTCTGCTATTATAGAGGTCTGAAAATTTCATGTACGATGTTGAATTAGAGGTGAAAGTTTTTACTTTCCAATCCTCAGATTTTATTCTTAGACAATCCTTTGTTAATTTTTAGATTCTTTTTTTCCCACCCTATAAGGTCATCTTAAGCTTTTATGGCATTTCCTGTCAAGAAAGAAATATCTAATGGGAGCTATATTTATTTTCTAATTTTTGCCTTGTGTCTGAAGAGGAAATGCGATCTCAAGCATCCCCCTGGTGATGAGATATATCGAAGTGGTACCCTATCAATGTTTGAGGTATGCTCTCATGCCCTCCAATTATTATTTCTTTTCGTTATTTTTTGGGCTTAGCTTCCTGTTTCTTATTTAATCTCATTATGGTCAAGGTTTGCATACCCTGTCATTGTTTAATTTGATGAAACTTCAAAATTGTAGTATGTAGTTTTAGCTTGGTTTCGAAATGTAGATTTATGCTTTGTAACATGGTCTTGGGAAGAACTTAACTCCAAAAGTTAGCTTGTGAAATGAGGTTACGCTCACGCTTATACACTGCACATCTCCTTTGTACATAGGTGATGTGAGACTTTGCTTAACATCCTCTCTCACGCATAGCATGCAGGGCCTGCGAAACACATTCTACCCATCCCCACGGTACATCTAGCTCTGATACCACGTGACACGGTCTTGGGTAGACTTTGCTACACTTACACCCTGCACATCCCCTTAATACCCTGCACATGCCCTTTGTACCCAGGCAACGTGAGAGTTTGCTTCACAGTTTTCAATATCTTCTTTTCATATTGTATTTCACACATTAAATGGAAATTTATTACAATTGCATGGATATGGTGTCTACAGTTCATTTAGCTTTTCTGAGTTATAATGTCTTGAAATTAAACAGATTGATGGCAAAAAGAACAAGGTTTATGGACAAAATCTTTGCTATTTGGCGAAATTGTTCCTGGATCACAAGACACTGTATTATGACGTTGACCTGTTTCTGTTTTACGTGCTTTGTGAATGTGACGATCGGGGATGCCACATGGTTGGCTACTTTTCTAAGGTAATTGTTTTTGTTTGAGAGTTTCTTTGAAATCCCCCTTCCCTTAATGCTGTCCTGCTATATTTATTTGAATTTATTTTTTGGGAACTGAAAGTTTCTAAAATAATGTTTAATTTAGCATGTCATGTAGGTCTCACACTGTTTACTGGCATGCACAATGAATTTGTTATGTGTGAATGATTAATAATCTTTTGGTGAATCTGTGCTATTGGTAGTTTCCTTAACATGGGTTGTGTTAGTAAAAATGAATCAAAATTGAAAATTGATCTATCTTCTTATGCTAAATTGTGTTGTAGTTCACCCATTTGATTTTTGGTTTGGGGATTAGTGAAGTCAAGGCCTATGGTTTGTGTTAAAGTGGACCTGAAATGGGAGTCATCTGTCCTCTTATTGAATCACACAACTGCATATTGATATGTATATGTACTTGCAAATGCCACTCTGTGTTTAATAAGCACACACAAGAGCATAATTCTGGCGCAAGTCTAACGACTTGGCATGATTTTTCATATTATAATTATATAGTACAGTCTATTGTGAAGAACTTCTATCAAACAAAGGCAAGTGTAGTGGTAAAATAATGTAGATTCAGCGTTTTGGATCATATCTGGTGGTTTGGACAGGAGAGCCCTGCATGGGAAATATAGGGTATGTTTGGTTTGTGTTTGAGAGATGTGTTTTAGAGATAAAAAGTACGAAAACATGTTTGGTTTGGTTTTTTTTAAAAGATGTTTTGGAAAATTATTTTGAGATAGAGTTTTGGAAAAAGTGATTGATTTGATGTGTGTGAGAGAGAGATTTGTTTGGAAAACTTGTTTGGTTTACAAGTTTTGGGAAATTTTTTTGGGAAAATTTGTTTGGTTTGGTTATTTTTGAAAACTTATTTGTAGAGAAAATTTCCCAAATTTTTTTCAGAAAATCAAACCAAACGAGCCCATAAATTTTGATAATGGCTCCTGTAAGAGAAGTATAAACCGTTTTGTTTGGTGCTAATAGTCAATGTCATTACATTTAGATCCCTTTTTTCTTTTTTTCCATTTTCTTTTGTGTGTGTGTTAACACCATATCATCAAGCAGATAGTGCCTAAAGTGGTTCAACTTGTTTGTTTCTTTGTTTGTGTTGGTTTCCTGCCCCTTCCTATTAATGTCGCACTTAAGTTTCTTACTACATGTTTGCTGGCGCGTGTTATGAGTCACAGACATAGAGGTAGACATATACACAAGGACACACACAATTTTTTAACTAATGTCCTTCAGAAGGGTGCATTCCACTGGGTAGCCTCCAATTGAGATGACAGATTTAGAATTTATGTTCTGGAGTATTTTATTGTTGTATTTGTATGTGAAATAAACTTTGGGCAGGTAGGCTGTATCTGTCAACTTACAGCCACAAGTGAGTTTTTGACTTTTGAAAAGCTGAAGGCAGTTTGTGATAAATGTTTAAATTCCTGAAGATTAATGTTTAAATTATGTTGAAATTTAATGTCTCTTACCATGCTTTGTCATCCAATGGTGCAGGAAAAGCATTCAGAGGAGTCCTATAACTTGGCCTGCATTCTGACTCTTCCTCCCTATCAGAGGAAAGGCTATGGAAAGTTCCTAATTGCATTTTGTAAGCTCTCCTGTTTAATTTCTCTGTCTTTTATTTTTTAATTTACAGAACCGTGAGGTTGTGGCTTTTGAACTAGAGGGCAGCTATTTTGTGCAAATTATACCACAGGTTAGGTCTGTGCCCAATCTACCCCTCCCATGCCTCATCTAATGGGGACTGAACTGAGCGTAACAATTCCTCTTTCTTTGTGTTCAGTATAAATAGTGCAGAATATTAATAGACCCCATCCCATCCAACTTTGTGATTTTTCTTATTCAATCTTAGTTGGGAATGTATGAGTTCAAAGCTTTTGGTCAATGTTTTCAAAATTGAAAATGGCAATCTAATTCAAGATTATTTGAGTTAGTACATAGCTCACTGGTGTCTCTTGCTAAAGTAATGCTAGAGACCCCTAAATTTGCCTACACTGACGTGGCGGGGTTAGGTCCTAGTTGGTTGATTCATAAACAAATCAGCAACTGACATAGAACAGTCCATGTCATTGGGGGTAAATTTAGTGGTAACATTTTAGGAGTCTTATGCATTTTCCCTTCCTAAATTATGGGAGTAAAATAGAAATGTTGGATGGAGTCAATTGTACTCCACAAGATGTAGTTTATAGAACTTACCCTAGACTGGAGAAAGCCCTCAGCAAGAAATTGACAGGATTTTTAATTAGGGCCAATTTGTTTTCACATCTTTCCTCATTATCTTCCTTAACTTACTAGGATGACATGACCAAAGGTTGTATCCATATTGGTAGAAGGATTTGAGTCTACTGACACCACTAGTGCAATGTTAATGCCTGGTTATCGGGGTGCTCACTGCTCAACCTGTTTGGCATTAGTTAAAAAAGTTGCATTTTTTCAAACTTTTTTGTCTTTAATGAATTTTGTAAATGTGTCAATTATTTACTTTTTAGGTCTGTCTAGTCTAGAAGAATCTAAGAAGTTTTGAAAAAAATCCAAAAAACATACCAAAAAAATTTAACTGTTTTAGTTTTTTCTTTTGTCTTTAGTGGATTTTTTTTCAATTTTCAATTTTCAATTTTCAATTTTATTTTATTTTATTTTATTATTAATTTTTTTTTTTTTAAACTTTTCAAGCCTGTCTAAAAGTGAAAAGTTTCTTGAATTTTTTTGAAAAAAAGTCTAATTTGGAGTAACCACCAGCTGATATCAGTCAGGAGAGGTTGGGGCATAACCCAGTGCTACTACTGATCTGTCTTTGTTATTGATTTTTAAGTGAATAATAATTGCTAATGTCATTTCAAACATGATGCAGCTTATGAGCTTTCCAAGAAAGAAGGTAAAGTTGGAACACCTGAAAGACCCCTTTCGGACCTGGGGCTGCTAAGCTACAGAGGGTACTGGACACGGGTTCTTCTAGACATTTTGAAAAAGCACAAGGGCAACATATCTATTAAGGTATATGTTGGAATGTGTGCTGAAATTGTCCAAAGTTTAATAGTTCAATTGCTCCATTAAGTTCTCTGTATCTTATTACTCGAGAGGTATTCTTGTCTTTCAGATGGCTATGGAAGGAAAATATATGGTCATTTTAGAAAAATCTAATTGTGCGATTGATTGCTTCTATTTATATTATTATCTCTCTCCCGCTCCTTTCCCAACACATCTGTTCTATATTGTCTCTAACATGGCCTCTGCAAATACTTGCTCTCCCTGCAGGAGCTTAGTGACATGACAGCCATTAAGGCGGAGGATATCTTGAACACCCTTCAGGGCTTGGAATTGATCCAGTATCGAAAAGGGCAGCATGTAATTTGTGCGGATCCGAAGGTCTTGGATCGTCATTTGAAAGCCGCAGGCCGTGGTGGACTTGAGGTAGATGTCTGCAAATTGATATGGACTCCCTATAAAGAGCAGAGTTGATGGTCTAAGACCTTTGTATTTTTATGTATTCAGCTTCTAGGTTGTATAAACTAGATGAAAGTTATTGGCTCGCTGGTGCTCTGTTTTTAAGTTATACATGTATTGACAGTTGCTGATATGTAGATTTATTACACCGATGTATTAATTGGAGTTTTTTTATTCATTTTATATATCTGAATACTGATTTTTATTATATATATATATATATATATTAAAGAGCCAAGTCTTGTGATTTGCCATTTCCCACCATTACTGATATTGTTATAAAAATTGTCCTAATAGTTAGCCATTTTGCTATTTTGTTTCAATAGTTTTGGTATATAGATAGAAATCAATCACAAAATCGAATATAAAACCCACATACATGGATAATATAGTACACAGATTTGTTTGTGGGTTCATTTTGAAAAGTTTATTATACATTATGTGTCCGGTTCATGAATTTTGGTGCTCCTACATTTAATAAGTTGTGTTGTTCGTTCTTTGCAACTTTTTTGGGGTTTTATTTATTTTTTTTTCGTTCATGAAAATATTAGAAGAATTATATTTTATTGATAATTAATGTAAAGAAAATGAAATACAAATAAATCAGGTTGAGGCACAGATATCTTGTTTTTTTTGAGGAGATTAAGCTCGCTATGATAGGAAGAACACAAATACTGATGCAATAGTTACCAAATTATGACTTGTCCCTTTCAGGATACAACAGTCCGACTACTTGTCATATGGTTCAACCAACTCTGCACAAGATGGTGAACCAAAAGCACTATTCTCTGACTAATAATCTCTCAAGTATAGAAAAATAGTTAGCGTAGAAAAAAGTAGATGATATGAACTATTTATAGGCTACTAAGACTTACAAATTATACCAAAAAAAAAATATAGACCATTAACTCACCATCAACCTCATGACCTTCCAATTAATCTCCATTCATAAACAAAACAAAAGGTCACCAAAAACAAATGAATCTTCATTCACCAAACAAAATGAGATTCATAAACAAGACAAAAGGTCATATAAAAAAAATAAATAAAAGACATTAAAATGGTCTAACAATCTCCCACTCATTTTAATATCAATAAGGACAAGAGATATTATCAAACAAAGATAGACTAGTATGCATCATGAAGGTGTGCTCTGCATTGAACCTCCATTAGTGAAACAACAACCTTTACTCCAGAGTTAGTAGTGGTCTCAGACTTGAACTATGACTACTTAGGGGAAATAAAGTATTACTGCTCACACATAATAATCCAGGTGTTGACATGAGCTTTAATAGTCAGCACATTACGGCCTTGTGTCTATCTTAGTTTTCATGAGCATATTTGAGAATAAGCCTTATTTTTATATAAAGCAGCCCCACTTTCATGCTCACATAGGTGAAATCTGTCAAGGATGTTTCTGTAATTTATACACCCCAATCGACAAGAGCTACATAATTTCATTAAGAGTATAAAAACTCAACCTTCCAACATTAAAGACAAATGCACTTACATCATACGGATGGATAACAAAATATTAAGGTATACATTTTTACAAACGACCATATGATTCGTTCTTCCCATTGAACCTAGTTCAGGATCTCTGGTCCCTAGGTTAGGTGCCCTCATACATGGTTTATGATTTTATAGGCTTCAAACACATCCCCTCGATGAATTCCAGATCATATCTCTTGCCAAGGCCTTGGTTAACGGATCCGCAAGATTATTACAAGATTTTACATAATTCATAGTTATGATGCCATTACTCAAAATAGGACATCACATTACTGTGTTTCCTTCGAATGAGTTTGGATTTACCATTATAAAAATGGTTGTTCACTCTATCAATAGCAGCAGTGTTATCCAACAAATTAACACAGGAGGAATTTGTTTTTTCCCAAAAAAAAATTTCATGTAACAAATCTCTCAACCAATTCTCTTCCTCACATGTTGAAGCTAACGCTATAAGTTCAGCTTCCATTGTAGAATTAGCAATTATAGTCTGTTTTTTAGGTTTCCAACATATAGTCATAGATACCCCCATTTTTGACCGTCCTCGAGACTTGGACGTCACCGTTGAACACTCAGTGATCATCCATGTTTGTGTTCGTCCTGAGTTCTGAGGTCTCGGCCACGCGCCTTGCCTCAAGACCTCTTGACTTGCCTCTTTTGTGTTGGTTTGTGCACCAAACACTTGTTGTTTTGCTTTTGAGGGTGGGAAATGGCCTGCTGGCCAT